CACTTGTTTGAGTTGTTAATCAATTTACATAAAGAACATAATTTTGCTAGTAAAGATAGGTAAAGGTTTCCCTCGATATTAAGTGTAGTTGTGTCTGACTTTGTGGGGTGGTGCTCAACTCCATTTCTAGGCCAAAGAACCGGCGTTGCCTGTAGATGCCTCCAAAGTCATGTGGCTGGCATGACTGCATGGAGCACTGTTACCTTCCACAGAAGCAGTACCTATTTATCTACTCACATTTCTATGTTTTTGAACTTGTAGGTTGGCAGAAGCCGGGACTAACAGCGGGAGCTCACCCCACTCCCCCAATTCAAACCACCAATCTTTCAGTCAGCAAGTTTGCTATGCTATTGTATATAATGGGACTTGAGCATCTATGGATGTTGTTATCCTCAGATGGTCCTGGAACCAAATCTCAGCCGATACTGAGGGCCCATTGTATATGTATGCGTCACTACTAGGAATGCCTCTATATTGAGTGAAGAAAACTACAGACTCTTTCTCATACATCTATCTGCACAATGGCATGGCAGCAGTTTCTCCAATAGTATGATCCCATATTATCTTGTGTTAAGTATTCACATCTATGCCAGTGTTGCCTAGACCACATTGAGGGAAACCTCTTCATATGATAGTGTTGGTATATACGACAGGAACTTTAGTGGTTCTCTGCTTCACTGTGTCAACACAGAAGTTTCCTAATGACTGAGCAGGATAGAACAGGATACTGCCTTTCCTAGAGATGCATGCACACTGTTGTAGGTTACCATATAGTGAATGGTTATCTGTATTTTCCCACTGAGCATACCCAACAGGAAAGTTGTGGTTTTCCTATAAGAACAACACCAGGTTGCATCTATTTCCCCCACTATGTTGACACTGTCACAAAATCACCAATATTTTGACAGAACCATAACAGTTAAACAAAATTATGATGGGCAACTCAATCTGACATGCCTCTTGTCATATAGATATCCAGATATCAATTCTCATTACATTCATATATAGTGCCGATTGAACTGTGAAGTGCAACTGAAACAGACCAGATTATGCCAATAGCTTATGTGATGGAAATACAGCTTACTGGATCTGATGCAATGAAGGTAGACACCACTGAAGGCCCCAACAACAACAAAATGTAAGACCCACCCCCCCACCAACTTTGTATTCTAGTTTCTAAGCTTCTTGAATTGCAAGAAGTATCAGTAAGTGACATACCATAATTCATACTAGCTGTCATTGTTAAACTATGAGTATAGCAGATAGGGAAATCTTTTCCTTTGCTGTTCCTTCCAGTATTTTTTTTAACAAATACATTGTTTTCCCATTTTTCTCTTCTATGGCACTTTTCAAAACCCTTTCTTTCTTCTTTTGCGTCAAGTTCTCCCCCTTCTCTTCAGAATTCCACCCCATAAGCTTGGCACCTCCTTTTGGTTCATTCTTGTGACTATTCCTTTGTTGTTTCCACATCATTTCACATCATAGTTTGAACTGTGATTTAACGTCAATTTCAACAGAAGCCTTGGCAGGGAGTTTCAAAAACATACTCATATCAATCAGCTTTCCAAAATAAAGCCTGGCTCTGTGACCACTGTGCCCTTGGGGTGGTGCAGTTTCTTCTTTGCATGCATTGTCTTCTATCCCTAGGTGAACTGGCTAGGTTCCTTAATGACTTCAAAAGGAAACATGCCAAACCACACAAGAGAAAATGAATGTGGAGGTTTCCTTCTTTCTTCCTGTTATCTCATAAGAGAGGAGATGACTTGGTGGCAAGATCAGAGATTGCTACAGGCGGAGATACCTAGCCAATTATTTAAGTTGCACAAGAGTAATGCCTCCTGGGAAAGAGACCTCAGTGTAATCTGGATAGAACCCAATTTTCACTCCACTGCTGTCATATTCCAGCATCTATTTTCTGCTGACTTGGTGGGATATGTCTATATTAAAATGTATGGCACTTATTCCAACTAGGCAAAAAACAACAACAACAAAACAACAATGCCAAACCTCTTGTGAATCTAATGCATAGGGAACAGCCGTGCTTCAAGACAAGAAGCAGATTTTTCCACTTGACATTTTCCCAACTCTCCAGCATGGTCATCCCTGGATGGGGGAACAGGGCTTCTAGTCAACACATCTGGAAGATGCCCCATTGGGAAGGCTCTTCAATACTATAGATTAGTAAATATACAGAGAAATCCATTGCGTATTTACTCATTGAGTGCAACAACACTTTCTTCCAAATAAATGCGCACGGGTTTTCAGCTTACAGGCATAAATATATTCAATTGTCTCTTTTGACCTCTGACAAGCAAATAATTTTTCAACAGATAATGTGAAAATTTGGCTCCTCGGATAGCATGACTATGAAGAAAAGTAATTAAGGATGCTTTTTGGATAAGGCTTTTATTGAGGTAATAAAATGAGGCAACTGCTTTTCCTCTTTTATGGAATTTTATCTGGAGTTAATCTCTTCCATATGTGACCCTCTGCTGTGATTTCCTACTGCTTCATCCATGTTTTATCTTGTCAGACAATCCATTAAAAGAAGGAAAAGACTAACCATTGTGCATTGTCCTTTGACTGATCATGCTAGGATCTCTGTCAGGAAACAGACCATATGCAGCATATAGAGGCTAAATCCATATTGCCAACATCTTCAGAGCATTCAGCCTAATCATCTTTCTGACGCAGACCAATCCATTCAAAGATGATAAAGTAAGCCATGTATCACTGCTGGCTCCATGAGGTCAGCTTCTGGACAGTAACTTCTTGGTTTTAAGCTATCTTCTATAAGAGGGCAGCATCCAAGGCTGGCCAAACCTTTTGTCACCTGAAGGAACTGCACTGTGTGATGTAAGCACTATACTCCATGATCTTCTGAAATGTTGCAGAGCATGCAAGTACACAACATCTGGATCCTGTCCACAATGCCTTTTTTACCATTTTACCTAATATATAATGCTGAAACCTCAACCAAAAGTTGGCTTTACTGTGAAGAATAAATATGTCCATAAGTGGAGATCCTGGATATTAAGAAGGCTGCAGATCAGGGATGGGACCAAGGACCACCTTTCAGCTCCTCTGCACCCTTGGTAGGCTATACTGAAAAGTCCTACAGTGATGTGATAGTCACCCAAACTTGTGTTTATAAACCAAAAGGGGACCCCACAATTCATTTGTGGTCACAAAAAGTGTTTTTATTATCTTTTTTGAAATCTGGGATTTGGGGGACTTGGGGGCAGGACTCCCATTCCACCCTGCTTAACAGGATTTTGTCTACAAAGATACATTGATCTTTCTAATTCTTAGCACAGAGAAACAACAGAAACTTTGGCAGAACTCTGGATCATTATCTCTGTGAATGACATTTTTATCCTAGGCCAGACCCTTTCTACTGCCCCTTCCCCCCTTTGCCATTCTTGTTCTTCAAACAATTTTATTCTAAAATATGTTTTACTGGGTAGATGGAAAGGTCTCTCAACAACTGGGGGCAAGAACCTCCTAGTTTGACATCTGGAATGTTGATTTATCTCCTTGTTTATTTCTCTTTTAATAGGCCATCATATAAAAAGAACGCAGTTTCTATCAAAATAGTTAGGTAATGTATTTTGTCTGTGTTTGGGGAAAGAGCTTTTAACCTCTTGGAGGTTTGTGCAACTCTAACTTAAAACAACTTCTGTCTGATTCACACATTATCTTAGTGGCATCCAAGCTACTTCTTCAGAGTAAGTGGTCCTGTCCCATCTTGTTCTTATACAATATGTACAGAGGAAGCAGATAGATAAAGGACATTGCATCATCCTCTGGGGGCCATATAACTTCCATTTGCTTTCACTTAAAGTAGAAAAAACAACAACATCACAATGTTTCCTACAGTAGGGTATGAATAAAGTCTCTGTCTTCTGGATTTGTTTAACATTTAATTCAAGTAAATCCTTAGTGTTGCTGGCATATAGGAAAATGACAGAACATAAATGGGTGCAGGGGAATGCAGAACTAGCATGATTTCTTTCATGCCAAAACTCAAATGTGCTTCCAGCACTTAAATGACTTTGGTGTCAGTGTTCAGTCCTTCAACCTGCTCAGATTTTCCAGGCAAATACAATTTGGTGTGAATGAGGGAACACAGTTCTTATGGGATGTTCTTTCCAAACTTCTAGTCAAACCTGTCTGAGGTAACATTATGAGAATATAAGCAAGAGCTCTCAGCAAAGTGAGCATCCTTTTAGAATGGTTGTGGGCTGCACCCAAGTGAGTAAGTCATTGTTTATCCCAACACCTTGAGTGCTGCTGCTTCTTCATCATCTCCTACTTTGCTTCCTCTTTTTCCAATATGTAAAAGACTTCCCAGCAGAAAGAAGTAAATAGTACAAATTTGCCACTGGAGATTCCTACTCATATAGAAAGAAGGTGTAAGTGCCAGGCAGTGCTTTGCAAATGTTTCTGGGCTGACTTCTATGGTATAATACCTTACTTGTATGATAAATAAAGTACTTCTTAGCTTTTGAGGCCCTCTTGTAAAGGGACAAAGATCATGACTCAGCACTGGCATTAATTGTACCTTTCTAGAGTACAAAGAGGCATGTGACACCTTGTTGCACAGACATTTATCCCAGTTGGGTGACGCTCTAGCCCCACAATCTCAAATGGCTACTGATTAGTCATCAAAGTATATCAGGAAGCTTCTAGCTCGGTGGTTCTCAACCTGTAGGTCCCCAGGTGTTTTGACCTATAACTCCCAGAAATCCCAGCATCTGGGGACCCACAGGCTGAGAACCACTGTAAAGTGTCTGCAGCATTGCCTTTGCCCTCATCTTTCCATTACGTGTCCATAATTTTGTAATCCAAATAACTATCCATTTAAGTATGATAGTAGGGCTTTCTGTTTCACTGGAATTAAGTAGGATCTCAGCCAGAATGAATGAACTGGACACTGCACAAATATTCATACTTTCTTTGGGGATAATGAGCATACAAAGAAAATGCAACCAACTCACAATGTTTCCAGGCTGTGAAGTCCTTCAAAGCCATGTATTCCCAGACTCTGGATTTGGTTGTTATGCAGATGTCTGAAGAGAGAAAAGAGAATCTTAAATTTAGAAAATAAGATAATAAAATTTGCTTTTTTATACTGTTTGGGTTTACGTATTGTAATTAAGGTGATATGTAAATTTAATAAATACATTTTTCACACATACAACCTTTTGAGGTCAAAGCTGCTGAGGACAATGATTATGTGGCATGCACAAATAACGTATTCAGTACTTCCATAAAAGTAGCAGGTAAGTGTACATATTAAGAATTATTAGGGATTAATGGATGGGAGCATGTCCAATTGTTTGAATGCAATTTGGGATGAATGGGAGCGTGTTCATTCAGTGATTTGTACACAACAGTCTGCATTAGTCAGTTTTTAAATCCATTTTATTTGAAATGCAATAAAAACCATTTGCTTTTGGTGTCTCCCAATGAGCTGTATTTGGCATAATGCTGTTAATGTTTATATGTTATTGGGCTTTGAATGGGGGTGTATTTTGGGTTTTTTTTAATAATTACTCTTGCATTTTTATGAATTTTCTTCTAATCTTAGAAGCTGGTTTGAGAGAGTTTCGGTCCCTAAAAGTCATCAAATACTTAAAAAAATACATTTGGTGTGCAGTGTTCATGCAGCAGGGTGATGTTTTGTGCCATTTCCTGCCAGGGCCCCTGTCACAACTCCTGATCACAAATTGCTGATGGGAGAAGGCTGGAAATATAATCCTTGTTGCACCCAGATTGCTAGTAGAACCAGCCTGCATCTTTGAATTGCTACTAGATAATTAAGATAGTTTTGAGGGTTATTTTCTTTCACCCTCATCTTGGTTTCTAGTTTCTTCCAGTGAAGAATTTTGTACATGACACACTATGAGATCAATTGATATAATAAAGTACAATGGTAGCTTTTGGTTTCCAGGCTTACACCTGGTTTAGCATACAAAGGTCAGTGTTCAAAAAAACTTAATGTATTTTATACCATGACCCTCAATTACCTTTGGGAGTGAAGAATAAACTATAGAACTCTGAGAATGTTGAGCTAGTCCCTTGGGCTATTTAATTGATGCAGAACTTGTTGTTGCAAACAATATGTTGATATTCATTTCTCCTGCAATGTCTGTTATAACACAGTACGTGAGGCACAGTGATTCAAGAGACATTGCACTGTGTATACTTCAAAATCCAAAGACATGAGAGGGAAGTGGGGAAAGTCACAGCACAGTGACATCATGTGTTCTTCTTTAGTAGATGTTACCAAGAAGAGTTGGAAACAATAATAATGCCTGATGACGGCACTACTATTTTGTGCTTGTTTGCGATGATGCGTAAGTGACAGTGTGTACAAGTAACAGACTATCCTGGGGTTGCTTCAGATACTCTCCAGGAGAAAAAGACTGGAAACATACATGACTCAGGGTAAAACAAAATGTTGAAGAGAATGTGTATTCCTCATGATTAACCTGTTCTCATCTGGAAATAGGATTTTCTCAGATATGTATACCTCAGCAATGAAACATGCAACAGTCTGTGGTTGCCTTCCAGTGATGATTCAAAACAAAATACAGACTGCAAACAAAATAGGTTTTGTTGGTTTGTTCTTAAGTTGGATGTATATGTACATTGGAGCTACTACATTTAAAAGTGTAACTCCAGCCATTTTTTACATTTAGTTTTGGACAATATAGGGAAGGGTTAACACCTCTATAATGGTTGTTTTGCTGTCTGTGCCCCTGTTCAGAAGATTTCACCTCACTTTCTGTCCATGTGACAATTGGATTTTTAAAATTTTGGGTTTTTGAGGAAACAAGGATTAGTGCTAAAGCTTATTGAGGAGACACCTTTTCTCTTTAAAAGCTCTTAACAAGGTGAATTTCCCTTCCTGTGGGTAGATTCCCTCTTACTTCCTGTTGTCTCACCCCCATTTGTAACCAGGAGATGGATGTAATTTGAATGTTTGTAACTTGGGGACTGCCTGTACATGAAATCAAAGAAAATAAAATCATGTGTTACAGCAAAATAGATATCTGTCACCACATCTCTTCTAAAGGCTTCTAAAAACTTGCTATGTTTTTAGCATGTTGTCTAGTTTGATCCTGCCATTTCTGATACATCTTATCAAGTCAGAATGCAAATTAACCTCCATGTACATATCTCCCATTCTATACGTTGGAAAGAAGCAGGGTTATCTCAGGTTATATCAGAAAGAGACTTGGCACATCACAATTAGACACATCACCGGTGTGAAATCTGTCAGCAGATTATTTGCTCTCTTCATTTTTTCCGTCAGACAGATAGAGATGTCAGAAGGTAACTGGTGTTACCGTTTGCAAACATCTAACTATCTACCTGACTAGCTTGGCAGGCGACTGGGTATGTTAAAAGCAGGAACTAAAAAGGACTGACTGGTAGCATGTATTCCTAATTGCTAATACCACAGTGGCATCAATAGATCTGTGGAGGAGGAGGGGGCTGCATACTGAATTGGGTGACACCATTGGAAGAGGTGACACCAAAGGGACTGTCTGTAATAAAGCTTTAGCAGGCCAGCATGAAATCAGAATTCCTACTTCCTTAATTTGGGAAGTGATCCATCATAGCAACACCTCACAACACCTTGACAAAGGAGAGCAAAAGAATTAAGAGGAATCGCTGATCTGGCACTGAGAAAGTCACCTGAAATCTTCCAGTTGGGCTCAATCCCTATATCAGGAGAAAGGTGGGATAAAAATAATAAAAAATAACATAAAATAAATAAAATCAGTCTTCTTTTTGTCTAGAGTGCATGGGTTATGGTTTCAGCAGTGTAGCAAATGTTCTGGGAGCAAATGTAGCTCTTCCAAAACACAGGGGGCCTTGGAGGAGCCCAGAGGTTATAAAACTATGAAGCCAGTCTTGTGGAAGTGGCAGCACACATAAGGAGCTCTTTCACTTTGCCACTTCCATGTCACTTTGCCACAGCTGAATCCTATGTAATCCCAGGAGTTAATGCTTCTTGAAACTTCTTGAATTTTCAGCTAGAGACCTCTGATGCCTCTTTACCAAACTACAATCCCAGGATTCCGGAGGTTGTAGCCATGGCAATTACACTGGAACCAAAAGATTACAAATTGTGTAAGTGTGAAAGGTCCCCATGCTGTTTGTGTTGTCACCTCAGGAAACTATCTAGACAAGCCACAAAGCTACCATATTTTTACAGAGTTTAGGGAGAGTAAAGATGTTAGTCCAGACAGAATCTTCGGAAGTGGCCAGCTAGGTGCTCACAAAATCTATGGAAGAGCTCACAGCCAGTATATTCTTTGTGACAGAAATGAGGCAAAGGCACATCTTTGTTCCATAACAGGAAAGTAGTATGTTGTAATACCTGTATAGTAACTAGAATGGCTACCAGCAACTGAATAAGTGGCACCTAAATTATTTGTGTCATATGTGGGCATGGGAGGGGGAAATCCCACTCCACCTGGTCTCAGTACTAAGGCCTTGGCAAAAGACTTAATGTTCCACAGTAAAGCCACCATGGATTTATGGGGAGAAGAGTAAACATATGCTACATGAATATAAATCTGGGACATTCCTGAATGTTTCCAATGAATTCTTAAACATGTCGTTCTTTTCCTTGCTCTTTCTGTGCAGCTTTCGCCTGCCCTTCCAAAGCAAGCAGGGGACAAGGGTAAAAAAAAAAAAAAACCCAGCTGCTTAGGAGAAAATCTGGATCCATTTTAACTTTCAATAGTGAGGAAGATCAATTTCATTGAAAATCTAAATCAGGAGATTATGGTATAAAACAGTTTTCCTCACTGACAAGGGGAAAGCAACAGACTTCATGTCCAGATGGTTTCCTCTGTCAAATTTTATGGGGCATTTCCAGATCAGACTGCCCTGACATCTCCTCAGGTCTTTACACAGAGATAACACCTGCAGTTTAAGTTTCTCTGAATGCTGAATCCCAGGCTTGGCAATCCAGAATTCAAATATATTATAACTACTGACATATAGCATATTGCCATATGTGAAGAATATCAAAGATCTGCACGTAAGCAATGGAAGTAACTGTGATTCACCTTTTGCAGCTATGATTCATTATGCATAAAAATGGCTCTGTTAAATCAAGGCAACAATGCACATAGCAGATATAACACTGAATGGAACACAGGTCTACCTATAAAAGTCATTCATTCTGGGAGTTATTGCTAAATCTCAAAACACCGCTCTGCAAGCCATTACTCTAGAGACCTCTCATACTATTCACCTTTCCCTTTGTCCCCAGCTGGAGAACGGTGGGGACAAACATTTGTTCATCATTATGGATCACTGCTGGCTGTTTCTTGACCTCAGAAACATTTAATTGGAGTTTGTTATTCCTAGTCTCTAAAGACCTCACATCAATAAACCAGCATATCAAGAAACATTTAATTGGAGTTCCTAACTGCTAGTCCCTAAAGACCACACATCAATAAACCAGTGTATCAACCAAACAAGTGCATACATCATGGGGATGTCTGCATAAGAGCTCTCTGCACACTCAATTTGGTGCTTCAGCACTTCACAGTAAATGAAGGATGTGTTGGCTGACAAATGGGCCTTCTTTTCCAGGCAACTCCTATATTCTGGGTTTTTTTTTATGAAGTGTATTTAGCCAACATGGTTAAGAAAAAGTGGATCTTACCACATGGGTTCAACTGACCCCAATTAAACTATTAACAGGCTTAGTTCTTCTGGGGAGACCCTGCTCTCAGTCCCTCCTGCTTCGCAAGTGCCGTTGGTAGGGATGAGAGACAGGGCCTTCTCAGTGGTGGCTCTCTCCCCAGTGAAATTAGATCTGCACCCTCCCTCCTGGCCTTTAGAAAAAAAGACATGGTTATGGAACCAAGCTTTTGACTAGTAATGCAGTACAAGAAGCAAATATGGAATATCTGCAATTGACATTTGGGATGGTTTGGTCTATGAGTTGGATAATGTGATTTTAATGCTTTTATTAGTTGTTTTAATTCTTACATTTAATGTTTCAAATGTCCTTTTGTCTTATGGTGAATTGTCC